TAAAATTAACTTGTTGTATGGTAGTCTACCCTCCACCTACTGTTAACTAATTGTAAAAGTAAAACTTAAATAAATTCTAAGGGAGTGTATTTTCTACACACACACACACACACACACACACACACACACACACACACGACAGAGAGAGGGTGACTGAAATACAAAAGCTGGTATTTCTACGATTACTATCAGTTTCTGGGGCAGCATCGACTCTTATCTGGTTTACGCGATTGGTCCATACACGAGCACCCCCCCCCCCCCTTCTCTCAAGCTCTGCAAAGGGGGGATAAATGCTAGTTTCTGGAAGATATTTCTAGTTAAGCCGAATTAATACAAATGCAAGTTACGCCATGTTGCAGGGCTAACGTGAAGCCAGTCTTTTCTCCCCCCCCCTGATTTTTGTGAAATGATACTTTGGGTACATACGATAAAATTGGGTGTTTATAGAGCATAGCCAAACATCTCCCATATCTGTTAATGGTACGCTGGGAGTTCCGTCATTACTTAGGTAGTGCATGTAAGATCATAATCACAAACCGAAAGCCTGGTCTTCCATATTACCAAGGTGTTTGCGATCCTATCGTATTGTTCTCTTATAAAACAACCCGTTACCGTGACAAACCCCCGGAGATTAAAGTGATAGTCGGGTATAAAAATCGTGACGATTTTCTAGCTATTACAGTTCAACCGCCTTTGAGTCCTTGTATTCGACTGGGAAGCTGACATGAAAGATAAGTACCACTTTTAAAAATCTAGGTGTCAGTTTCCATTTATATATAACCTTCCAATTTGAGGTCTACGTTTCAAACAAGCGCAACAATCGTATATATTCCCCTTCTTTCATGTTAGCCAGATTCCAAGAATTAACGCTCTTAGTTACTCCTGCATGGACTTAGATCTATAATCTTGACTTGTAATTATCTCCAACAATTTAACCCATCAACCAACCGACAAGTCACGCAGTGCTCCGGTCTAATTAATGTTGTATATTTCAAAAGTGAAAGTTGGGGACATTTTTGGTAGACAACTGATTAGTTATTTATTCCCCTGTATACCCGTTTCATTGCCTTCAGAAGGTCGCATAATATATTTTCAATATTACAGCCTGTTATAGGCTTGCATCATGAGACAGTTAAAATACTTTTTCAAAGTAACAACAAAGTGATTTGGTGATAAAATATACCACAATACTGGTAACATTTCAATTATATCGGAGTACGTATATTTAACCAGTTTTTCTAAGCAAAACTGTAAATATTATTCATAACTTTCCTTCATATTATCACAAAAACAGTCACGTTGATTTACCAGGTTTTATAACAGCCGAGACTACTCGTCTATGAAAAAAAAAACTTGTATTAAACAGTGGATATTCTTTTCTGCTATCTCCTTTTCACTGCATTGCTTCATCCGGTATTATTAAATTAGGCTGCAAAATTTCGTAATTAGACACATTATCTGCATAATTAGATTCAAACTGTATTGAATAGACGTTTTTTTTTTAGGCTGATTGTATTTCATATTGGACAAAAAATATCTCTGGTAGTACCGTAATTTATTGCATTAAGTTGATTACAAATACTGTATTCAGTTAGAAAAAACAGTAATTTAAAGAAAACTGTTGCTAAACTTATTTTAAAACTCTTGACTATGTTAAGAAAATCTTAACACAAGATCATAGTTTTAGGAAAAAGCAGGTGAAAATATTTAGGTTTAACATTAATTACTCTGTATCAAGGCCCGGCATGGCAAGGTGGTTAGGGCGCTCGACTCTCAATCTGAGGTTCGCGGGTTCGAATGCCCGTCCCACCAAACATGCTCGCCCTTTCAGCCGTGGGGGCGTTATAATGTGACGGTCAACCCCACTATTCGTTGGTAAAAGAGTAGCCCAAGAGTTGGCGGTGGGTGGTGATGACTAGCTGCCTTCCCTCTAGTCTTACATCACTATATTAGGGACGGCTAACGCAGATAGCCCCTTTTAGCTTTGCGCGAAATTGAAAAAACAAACAAACATATTCTGCATCATAACACTTGTGAATATCTCCAGCGCCGTCGGTGAAGGAATATGTTCTGTCACAATAAATATTCTGGACTAAACGTGGAAAAACAATATCAAAAGGGCAATAACTCATTCCCATTGCCACTTATCGTGATGCTATAAATTTTGATACACATTCAAAGTTAAAGATGAATATTTCAGTCTAATTACAGAATTAGGAATACACTTTTTTTTTAAACGTTATAATTCTGCGTCACAGTGGGATAAAGTAATTGATATAAATTGATTCTTTGGCTACTATCAAATATGTATAGTACTGATATTCAGTTAATCCTTCGATTTGTGTTGCGTTTATTTGCGAAGTTCCATAAGAGGGTTCTTAATTTACAACCAAATCTTAGCTACGTGCTCAATCGTAATCTGATCTTAAATACTTGGTTTCTTGAATTCTAGTTTTGTAACCTTTCATAATTTGTCTGTGCAAATGAATGTGATCGTGTAAAATAAACAAATGTGGAATATTTTACTTTTTAAACTTTTTTTCTTTCAACAGATAGTTAGGGTTAAAATCGTATATAGGTTTCCTAAAATGCGATACGCACTACATATATTTTAGGCGAATATGAAAGGTGATTGTTATCACTTTGTTTCATTTTACCCTGAAGTTATTAGTCGCTGGTGGTTAACAATCTGATATCAAATAAGCAACAAACTTAGGGGGGTCGATGTGTCAGATACTTGTTTTCAGATGTTCGCAGCAATGTTTATTGCCTCTAATACTAGGTTACTGTTTTCAACAGAATAAATTATTCATATTGTATTAAGTATGTTTTTGTTTTTTTAATGATATGTAAATATTATAGACTTGTAAATACTACTTAACCTTGTAACTGATATCGATTTTTTCTTACCTTTTAATAACGCCAGATTTTTCAAGCTTATTAAAACTAACACATTATATGATCGCTGAGTTTACGAAAATAAATTTCGAGTTACGTAAGATGAAGTATGTTCTTCATGAATTTCGTATTTTTTATTTTTTTTATTATTATTCTAGTTACTAACTACGGTGCCGCATGGCATGTGGCGCGGGCGAAGATTTACACCTCACATCATGCCTTTTCTAGACAGAAGATCGAAACGAATATTGGAGTACACATTGGTCTAAATGGTGTTAATATAACACTCAAAGGTAGCTATAAGAAGGGACTAATTCGGAAAGCAGTGCATTTTTATATAAGAAATACTCATTGTGTTTTTAAAGATACATATTTAAAACTTGTATTTATCTATGGCCTAAGATTTGTGTTAATAATTACGATGGGTTAACATCCTCTCTCTCACGACAAGAAGTAATAACCAGAAGGACGAATGTTAATAATTGCAATTAAAATATGACTAAACCTCAATTGAAAGCAGAACAAAATTTATAAGCGCAACACTGGTTTTGAAAAGGCTTTATGAAAATAGCTTGTAGCCCTTATTTATTACTATTCGGAGATAATGCTGCGTGAGTGTTTTATATGTGTATGTATGGGTAAATTGTTTTACGAAAAAAAGTGTATTTTTCTTTATCTTGAACAGCTATGCCGAAAAATGCGTTGTTGGCGGATATAAACTACAATGAAAGATTCAGCTGGATTAGACGTAAGATTTTTGTTGTTGTTGGATTAAAAATGAATTTATTGAATATTTCTATATTGAGTAAGTTGAACTTTGTAATGGAGAAACTATTTAGTACGTGTGATTAAAGTAGACTTTTTATTAAATCAATTATACCATTATATCTTTGGGTTTATCTCTATTTCAGAATGGCCATGGTTTGGTTTTACGTTAAAAAAGTTTATTATTTTTAAAACCTTAGTTGTAAATGACTTGTATAAAAAGTTTATGATCAATAATTAAAACTTACTTGCTTAATCTGGTTCACAACGTAACAGCTGTTCATGAAAATTGATAAGGGAAAGAGGAGGGAAAAATAACAAACTCCTAGGCCTACTCTCTAGTCTTAGCCTATCCGAGACCTGGTATTGGGCGAGAGGTCTCTTGAAACTTGATTTTTGGTAGATGTAGTGTAAATAATATATCATTTGCTTTCAGTCATTGATTCTTAGAATTAACTTTGTTTCCACATACATTTTCTTTTCAATGTAAATTCTCAAATATGGTTCGTCAAAATTGGAAAGTTCGAGAAACCCGAGACTGAAACAAAAATCATTATAGAGCAACTTTGTATCCTGTGAGATAACGACACCGTGGACATCCTCCCCCTCCTAATTACATATAACAAGCAACGGGTAACCCTTGATTGAATGTTTTGTAAAACTTTCATTACGTTCTTACGTCTGTTCAAGAGTATCATACAACTACGTATTTTCAGAATTATACTAGGTGATGAGTGTTATTTTTTTAAGACCCACGCCCGCGAAAAAGTAGGATATTTTTCTAAAATTTTGGCCGAAAACAAATTATGAAACATTTAATCGAAAAAGCGCATAAAAACGCAATGGTAATTATTCTTATTGTTATTATTAGTAGTAAAAAGTTTAGCTACATTAGTTGAGCTGATATCAACACAACTTTCAGATTTGCAATCGAATACCAGAAAGCATAGAAACAGTAGTAACTGGCAGAGTATGTGATATATATATATATATATACACACACACACACACACACACACACACACACACACACACACACACACACACACACACACACACACACACACACACACACACACACACAACAAACAAAAGAAAAGAAAGAACGTAGTACGTTCGTTACGTTACGTTACGTACGTACTACCTACCGTACCTACCGTACGTACGTACTACCGTACCTACTACGTAA